CTCTGTTGCTCATAAAAACCGGGGTCGGGATATGTGTATTGAAGTTGATGAGGTCAATGGTCAGTCCTTTCTTGTTGACAAGATGATCCTGTTGAGTGCCTGTGCCATATATCTGTTCTTCTGGTGTGGTACTGAAGGAAAATTCGGCGGCAAACTCGCTTCCTGGACCAGTCCAAGAGTAGTACCGCGGGTTGAGTGACTTTAGTGGTGCATACTCATTAGTAAGGAGAGTCTCCGAGCCATTAGCGTCCACTCGATAAAAGGCAAGACGATAGCCTCCGGGGCTACCACCCCACCCGGATGTGCGAACGATCATATTGCCATTGCGCAATTCTTCTGATCGATTGCCGTTGAAGGCCGTATCAAAAGTCATTCCGTGTGCCTCTCCGTCCTCTGGTCCTTCAAGAGGTGGGTCATAAACAAATCCGATCTCCTGTCCTGTCGGCGCCCGGAATGGCCATGCCCGCACTCGAAAGCCATCGTATCCAAAAGGTTGTACCAAGACTGTTTCAAAACCGTGCTGCATACGGAATCCCTTTGAGGTTGGTTTGTGATAGGTGGGTTGCTGTACTGGAGAGGCCACTGAGCTAGAAGCCCAGATGGCACTGAGGGCAATCCATGAAAGCCGCATTTTCCCAGAATCTATCACTGGGTGATCGGACCGTTGCCTTCTCGCTCCGCATCCTGTCTTTCTGTATCCCTTTAACTAAATGGCCATATGGTATTTAGGCTGAATATCGCGTCCTAACTCCGAAGACCCCGCGATAGACGTCACATCCGGCGGGGGATCGACATGAATAGCTGCCATGTTCACGGGAATGGACGGGTAACGGGGAGGGGATTGACGATAAAAGTTCCAAGCAAGGTATGTATGCACAGACAAGGATCGGAGGCGAATGACCCGAGCAATGGCCGATCAGCACCCTGCAGATTCATTTACCCGAGTTCTCTAGTGTGGGGTGGAATCAAAGAGGGTCTGAATCGTGTTGCTTCGCGAGTGGAGTGCATTTAGAGCGTGGGGACGTTCGATAGCCCTAGCCTGCCTTTCTCGACGAGGCCTTTTGAGATCGTGATACGTAAATTGTAGAATCACCGTCAAATCATCGAGTTTGGTGTCTGCTGGAAGACAGGCTAAAATAACCAACCGGAACATTTGTCATTGACATCCATGGATGTAAACACATATTCCTAAGTCTTGGTTCAGCTTAGTGAGCTTGGAGAAATCGACGATAGAATGGGGTTAAGGCAGCAGTTGATGCCCCAGGCGCTAAATTGTAAGGCAGCAAATCACATGAGCTTAGTACGACGTAACGTTACCTAGCTATATAGTTATCAAGTTTCCCATTCTACAAGTACCTTGAAGGCTTTCTAGATGGAGTGAACAGTAGACATTGGAGATCTGCGATTTTTATGAACAGGTCACACTGAAATCCTGTAAGACGCAAAAACAACCCTTTGTCCATGTAGTCGTCCATCAATATATATCGGACGGATATACTACACTACCCATTTGCAACAAACATGAGTAAAAGTACTCACGTAAGCTCCATGTTCTTGTGGTCTTCGGAGCTCATAATACAAGAACATCTTTCTTTTGTAGGTCCTACACTCACTATAATCATTTTGGTCACGGTGAGAGAGGATAACGCCGCAGCCGTCTGTACAAAGCGTCCCATAACTCCTGAGTTTCAACAACCATTCGCAATGAAGACAAGTATATATTTTTCTCCAAAGATTTAACCATTGAGGGCAAATGGAAATGTGTAAGATGTACTTATCGCCATTTCCCACTAGGAGCTAGTGGGCAAATCGGAAGTCCAATCTTTTGTTTCCCTCATCTTTCGTTGTGTTTAGGTAATGGTGTTTCTGCTCGGGACTCATAGCATTCCAGACCTGTTCACGTGTTTTGTTTCTCCACATATAGTAGACCTTGATGAAGATGGTAACCAAAACATTCCATCCCACAAGTGCTAGAAGGATCTTGTTTCCCTTTCGGTAGTAGGGTTTATCATCCGTTCGGTAGATCTAAGAAAGAAGGTATGTTTGTCAAAAATCCAACGAACAATATGAAAACATTGTGTGTATCGGAAAACATACGTTGGAAGAAATGATAGCACCTGCTTGGCAAATCATGTTATACACTGCACTGCCCACAGTGCGCGTGCGCACAGAGCCGGAGTTCCGCGAGATCAAGCTGACTATAAGAAGAATTGCGTTAGAAAATCTACTATATTGTTGGAAGAATTAGTACTAACCATTGATGGAGTGGACATAGGGAAAACCAATAACCAGCACTGTAACCGCGTACCAACTCCAAGGACTTGTAGTTGCTGGCATCAGCTCTAGTGCCATTAAAAGAGGGAAAACCCAAAAGGAATAGAATAGCACAATGGCCATGCGGTTGTTGATCTTTTCAGACACCCAAGACCAAAAGATAAGTTGGATCAAGAATAGCACGGTTGCAGGAATGGTCAGAAGATTGACCTCGAACGTATCAAAGCCAAGTGACTTTAAGAAGAGGGTCAAATATGCTTGTTCAGGATTAGTAGGAACCAGCAGCGTGAGGCTGATCAGATACATTGGCCAAAGATCGTAGTCCATGAGAGAGTCCCATAGAAGTCTTAGTGTTAGACCTTGACGATTATGCATCCCACCCTATGTTACATCCACAGTCAGTATGTGCGTGGGCGAATTTCAAAATATTCCCCCATTAATACGTACCTTCGCTGGGTCATCTCGTAGAACACGATTGACCATGATGACTTCTTCCCTCTCCGAAAACCAACCGTCTTTCCCACGAAACCAGCTTGCAGTTTGGGTCGGACTCGGAGGTAGATAAAACCAAGAGACCACACCAATAATGAAAGTCAAAGCACCCTCGAGAACAAACAGCCACCTCCAGCCTTCCCAACCCCCTATGGATCGCATGCGCAGAATTCCAAACGCCAAGAATGCTGCAATGATATGGGTGCCGTTGGAGCAACAGTAAAAAAAGGCGACCCGCATGGGCAGCTCTTTATTAGTATAGAAATAAGATAGGTAAAGGAGTGCATCGGGAATGAAGCCACCCTCTATCAGACCAAGCAGTGCGCGAGTAGCATAGAAACTGTTTTCGCCACTGACTAGACCCTGGCAGATCCCAACTACACTCCAAAGAACCATTTGAATGGGAATCCATACGTCGGGGCCAAGCTTTTTTGAGATCATTTGCGACGGCACCTCTGCGCACAGGAAGCAAAGATAGAATATTGTCATGCCATAGTTATACTGGTTAGTTGATAACCCGAGGTCATCAAGCATTCCATCGGATAATGCTTGTCCGATATTACCCCGATCTAGCTGAAGGGCAAAAAACATCAGACAGACCCAGGAACAGATTCTGTAGTCGAGCTATGTTATCGTCAAATTTTGGTCGGCTGATTTACAGTATAAGAATATGGGGAACGGTCTTCATTACCCTTCGGACCAGTAGCTTCTCTTCCTTCTCCGTCCATTCAGCGAGTGGATCATATCGATGTTTCCCTTCGTACTCTGCGATGGGCTCATAGAACTCCAGTGAACCACCCGCAGCCAATACCCCACTTGTTACAGTGTACTTTGTGATCGGGATCGGCGTCTGTTGAACAACTGTAACAGACGGCTGCTTCGAATCAAGCGACAGGGAGCTCTTGCCGGACATTGTCAATTTAAAGTCTGGTTTGTAACTTCAATGAGTTGGTTTTCAACCTTTCTATATGCGATAGTCATTGCCACTCGTGCCCTACGCCGAGGATTGCGCAATGCTCATCGCGGATGTCAAGCCAACGGTGTTTGGCGTCGTGCAGTCGTGCCGCGGAGAAAGCCTAACAAAACTGTATGCCTAAAAGGTGACATTTGGGCCCCTGATGATGAACGAAACGCCTAGTATGTGCCGGATCGGTATGGCAAGGGCAAATCTGGTTAGATGGAGGGGTCCATGTAAGACAATGTTAAGGCTAAAAAGGAACATGACAAGACCGCCAAGACTGTGGAAGCACGGGTTATGCCCTATTAGATTTAGCTAGGGCCGAGCCTTGATTGAACCACATGTTGCCATTCAATGCGGGATCGCGTCACCAAGTGAACAACCTGTGGACATACTGAGCTTTACCCCTCAGCTAGACACCTTGCTTCCATGTACGGCATAACGTGACTGAGTAATCATCTTTAATACTTAGAAGTGTCGGTTAATTTATCATCAGAAAAAGCTACTAGCAGGAAAGATGAACCGTTTCACAAGCCAACTGTCCTTGGCCTTGGCCTACAAAGATTAAACAATCCCTAAAGCTGCTCCTAGTGGTACAAAGCGATATCAACACTACAATATCATCTAGGACCTATGTGATTTTGGTAGTCTGTCTTAGTTGTTTTAAGGTTAAACGCCTTATGAGCTATTTGTTATATTCATAGACTTGATTCCCTTTGTTAGTGCTAAAGCTAGAAGGATAAGAAGAATTAGCTGGCACCATCTCCATGTCACATATTTCCATGTGAGTAAGAACCTATACACGCTCTGTAGCATCGTTGCTACTAGACAGACATTGACAGCTGTTATAGATTCCGTCTCCAGACCGCCAAAAGGCTCGCCGCTGAGGCCGGGAAGTGCGAAAACAACTTCCAAGTGCGGCCTAATGCCACCAATGACTGCACCGCCGCCGCCCACGCCATGAATGGATCATCTTTCCTTCCGTTCTAGTTTCAATAGCTTATCCCTGCGCGCTGGGATTATATCCCGCGGTCGCATGCTATGTGCCTCAATAGAGGTGGAAAATATTCCTGTTTTGTTTATCAACCGCCCTCGGGTAGGGAGAAGTAGAATTTAGTAGCAAGAGTCTATTTCTCTATACATTGCCCTGAGACACATTTGCCTCCAATTACAAATTAAACTCGGACTTATAAGTCAACGTGATGCCTCCCCGAAAGATTTTCGAGGAGGGTCGAGGGTGACCAGTAAATCAAGTTTCAACATGTGTCGCTTGATGTCAGAGTAGCACGCCAAAAGCCTTGTCTAGGCTGGCGTCTAGTTGCAGAAAGTCTACAAGACGTCCCAAATGATCAATCCCCCAGAAGCTTTCCTTTACCCCATGAGCGTCTATGCAATCAAACCAAGGTAAACCAAATGCGCCGGAATCGATGGCATCTTGTGTGCTTTCATCCAGAATGGCCTTTGCATCAGTGCCTTTGGACTGTACAATAATATTAGAGAAGGAAAAAACCTGTCATGCAGACCAGATGAAACATACCTCATCCAGAATCCGCCTGGCGTTCTCGGCACCAAGTTCACCCTCCAAGATGGCAGAGAAACCGGGCTGAGTAAGGACATTCGAGTTTCCATCTTCCCAGAACATGCAATAGATCTTACCCACAACAGGGAGTAGGCTGTCGGGATGTTGCGTAGCCAGAAGGCAGAGAGCGAGCTGCACCTCCGAAGTGGACGCGGGAAATGCTTGTGGGAGGGCTTCGGACATGGGGACCTGGAAGCGACGAGCCCAGTAAATACGCTCTCGGTTTATCCAGTGGGCCTTGTCTACAACGAGAAATTAGCACACTTCAAATATAGGGTCCATAGTAGGAACCTACTCTTGACTGCCAAAGGAGGCGTGTTTTTGCATAACTGAAACAAATCTCGCAAACTGACGGGGACATAGTCAATGTGACATTCCGCGAAGACAGGAGACGTCTAGGTATGGATAATGATTAACTGACTCTTCATTGATCAAGTCTTTCAAGGTTTGGGAGATGGATTTGACTGACCCTCAAGGCATGAAACGCAATGCAGGCGAAAGGACTGCCAATGTCGAAATAAAAGGTTATATTAGGGGCATTCATAATCGGAAAAGTACTGTTTGATAATAGACCGTGGAAATAATATATCTAGATGAGGACGTGCGCTTTGGCTCTTTAATAGTCAAAGAATTAGCTTATGCTTATTCATATTGGCGGCTGCACTTCGTTTATACCATCTCAAGGTATTCCCAACAAACTTTCGGATCTTAACCTTGGAAGATCAGGAACAGCCCTGGAGGCAAAGGCCCATTAAATTTAGGTTCAGGTGGAATTCTTAGTGGAGCCTGGGATCTGAAGTAAACAGGTGCAGATGTAGTTTAGATACCCCAACAGTTCTGGATTATATGCAAAACACCTTGCATTGCGTGGAAGGAATAACCAACGTTGTAAAAGCCGCCCAACCAATCATTACCACTTGCAGAACTTTTCGACTTGTCGGCCAGTTGTAACGACTGCTCGGATCATCACCCCAATTGCATGTTTCACTGCGTTTGGAATCCTCTGCAGTTGTTCCGAGTGCATTTTGGAGCGTGTCCTTGGCTGAGGACTGTAAGGCTTCCATAATGCCGTGTATGCGTAGTGTTCGTCGTCCAAAATCAACCTTCGAAGGTCATTTGAGGCTGCTAAGACAGGGGCCGCTCGGGATCATCAAAGATTGGCCAACCTCCTGGTAGACAAGCATCTGATTGGTTGGACAGGGTAGCGTTACAATGGTTGTCAGAGCCTTGGAACCCTGTAACTAGGACTTTTGATTATTCAACATTTGATTATTCAACGTCCCTGTGCATTCTCAGACCTGTAAACTGGGATTAGGTAAAACTGTACTCAGTATGTTGAGATTTCGATTGGGCTTGTTGAGGAGGCGTTTATTTTCGTTGAATAGAAAATAATTCGAAGATTTGTGGCGGCAAGGAACAACCCAGCGTGTTAGTGATGTTTTGGTCTCACACTTTCCGTGCATGCTCGTTCCAGTCTCCCTAAGGGAAACCCCAACCTGGACATAGCTTTCTTACCATCTGCCGGTGAAACTTGATATCTTGCTTATCATCACCGGGCAGTACCAGCCAGCCACCTGCACCAATCGTCTTTGAGAAACGGGCGACCATAGAGTTGGAATTGCACCTGTAGCACCCTCCACTATCGTCTGCCTCTTGCCAGCAGTCATTTTCCTTGGGCGGGGGGCTTCGCAGCTCAGAGAAGGGTATTTGTTGCTTGTTTTTCCCGCCTTTCTAGCGAAGTACATGATCTCGGCCACCCCTTATCTCAGGATTCCGCCTCGGCAATACCGGAAAGTCCTCGGGGCTCGTCGATAAGAGCTTATGTTAGACTGACCAAAAGGCCCGTGGGCCTTTCCACATCCATGAATGGACCCGGCAATCCAGACCGCCCGGGGGTTGTTTTGACACGAAGAGAGCCACGGTTGGCAGCTCGCCAAAAGCGGGTAGCCTTGCAGGCCTAACTCTTTCAGGTATCGAATATTCCCAAAAGAGGCCTTTTCCCCAGGCGCACTTGATGTCAGCTTAGTTAACGTATTCGGTAAGCGAGTCGGCCATGTAAGCCAGCCGGCCACCCCAAAACACATTGTAAATGCGATAAATTACAACTTGATATCTCAATAACGGTGGCCTATAGGGAGTTTTTCTTATAGCAAGATAGTTTTCAGATGATATCTAGCCCCTTTAGGGAATTTAGGGAGTTTTAATACCTTAGTGATGAAAATATATCTATATTTCTGGCTCACAGTTACGTAATTTTCGATACCGTAACATTATAGCTTTCTAATTTCCTTCAAATTAATATACGTTATTAATAAGCCTTATCAACACTTATCGAGCAGCAACAGAATCGAATAAGAACGTGGTTGTGGAGATACAAGTGTAGAAGATATCGCATTTACTATGTGTTTTGGGGTGGCCGGCTGGCTTACATGGCCGACTCGCTTACCGAATACGTTATCTATTCCGGAAACTTTTCCGCTTTTGGGGGATCCACTTAGAGTTTCCATCGGCCTTCGGGATTATGGCATGCTGATTTACTGGCTAACTTTTCTTGCCTGCTCAAAGATCAAAAGGTTCGGACTTCTTCTACATATTGTGTGAGATTCATATTATCGCTCTCGAGCTGCCACAGAGCTGTCGCTCCATCAGATTACATGCAGTTCTATCCTAAAGCGCGAGAGCGGCGACCTAGCATCCATGATCCATCTGTTCTCCCGCGTCGATTGGGCGTCCTGAAGGCAGCTGCTGCCAATCTTCTGATTCTCCAAATTCTATTCCTCGGTCTGTTCTGTTACATATTCGGGTCCCTCTTCCAGCAGTCCGGACACATTCACAACATCAATATTTTGTTCGTTGACTACGATGGCGGTGCGATAGGCGACGCGGCCCGTATCGCGTTCCAAAAGCTCAAAGGACCAGGCTTTCCAACTCTCATTGAGCAATCCGCCTCCGTGTACCCCCGGCCTGGCTCGATTGAAGGCGCAGTCTGCGACATCAAATACTGGGGAGCCTTGTACACCTCGGCGAATGCGTCCAATGCTTTGAGTGCTGCACTTGCGGGTGGGTCATCTGCCTCTTCCTATAACAAGACCGATGTTCTCACCATGGTGTGGAACGAAGTGCGCTACCCGGCGGTCGTTGATTCAGCCGTTGCAGGTAGCATGAAACTGCTGTCGGAAACTGCGCGTGTTGCGTACTCGCAGACCAACGGGAAAATGGCTCTCGAGAGTGTCAACAGCTCGGATCCTGCTGCGCTTGCGGCATTATACGATCCTTGGACATTGACCGACAACAATATTCTACCCACGACACAAGGATCAAGGCTCATTTACAACACGCTAGTCATTATATTGATCCTGATCCAGGAATTCTTCTATCTCGGTACTGTCAATGGCTTATACGCTCAATTCAAACTCTACACATCAGTATCACCCCACCGCATCGCGACAGCGCGCCAAATCATCTCTTTAATCTACACACTCGTCGGGGCCATGTGTACGGCCGGTGCAATTTGGGCATTCCGAAGTGGTTGGAATGTCAACGGAAACCAGTTCGCGCTCACTTGGCTGGTACTATGGCTCTTTGCACATTTGAACTTCCTTGTGCTAGACGTTTTCACTATCTGGCTTCCGCCTCCCTACGTACCGATGGCGCTGATATCATGGGTCATCTTGAATGTCACTTCCATTCTTCTCCCGTTCGAGCTGTCACCTGCATTTTACAAAGTGGGCTACGCTCTACCGGCACATGCCGTCTTCCAGGTACTTATCGACATCTGGTCTTCTGGCTGCAACCCCCAGCTCTATCACTCGCTGCCTGTTCTCTTCGCCTACGAAGTTCTTGGTCTTATTTTGAGTTCCATCGGTGTGTATCGAAGGGCCCATTACGCATGTATCAACCAAGAGAAGGACGAAAAGACTTTCCATCAGCGGGTGGCGGACACACTGGCCGAGCAACAACAGGCTCAACCTGTCAGACGGGAAACGAGACGTGATGACCAAGAAGGCGGAATATCGGAAACCGAGAGCGAGGAAGGTGATGCTATGCAAAGGCGAGGCACCGCGACATCAATCACAGGTCAAGCGGGGTTGGCCAGCACCATCAACCGTGAGATGTCACGGTCGAGGGTTGATAGACCAGATACAAGCCGAGATAGCACCGGCCCGTCCTTTGCCTTGGCCTATAGAGATTGAACAACCCATGGAGTCATTTCCAATGGTCAAAAGCGATCTCAGCACTGCAATAATATCTAGAAGTAATGTATCAAGGCCATGTATATAATATGCTTTACATTGCCATCTCTAATCAGAAATGGAATCAACATGACAGGGTTGAATAAGTACAGATGGAACTACTGCATGTATGGGAAAGAGGTTTCTTGCAAAGGTGGTAGGACAGTAACCACAATCTGGAGCTGTTACCAATGATATTTAATAAACATCTTCATTTGCATTTGGTTTGTTTTGTTTGTTTTCATGCGTTCTACTTCTTTCTCCCCTTCTACGGGTCACCTGGTAAGTTAAAGTAAATCAATGATCACTAACCCGACGCCTTCTTCCCCCCATATAGATCCTCGAACAAATCAGCTATCGGGGTAGCCCAGCCCGGACCAAGGAGCAAGCGTGCAATATAGTCATCATCACTGGGGTCCATCTCACCTTCGCCTTCACAGGCGTCTGCAGCAGACACCTCAATCTCCCCATATGGCTCCTCCGGAAATCAACTCTCGGTTTAGCCCATTTCGAACCAAGGAGCAATCATGCGATATAGTTAGCATCACTTGAATCCATCTTACTTTCCTCGTCACTAGAGTGTCCATAAGCCTCCTGCTCAGGCTCTGCGTCAACCCTATCATTGTCTTTATCGACCACAGCGACGGAGCGAAGAGACAAGGAAGATTCAAGGGTCATTCGATCGAGAGCATCTGCAACTAGAACATTACCAGCGATCGGTTCTCTGGGTTGGATCGAAGATCGCGAACTAGACGACTGAGAGCTGTGAGCATACGCTCGTGTGGCTCACTGTCGTTGAGTAGCGGCATTATCCGTAATGTCCTAGAAATGTCAGTATATCTATTCGTCAGGCAGTACTTACCTAGGCATGACAGATGGATTCCAGGATGCGAACATGGATCAAAGCTGGGGTTACCGGTGCTGATGACGGTCCGATCAAGTGAGAATAGGGGATATTTATCGTTTCAGGCTCTTCTATTAGTTCGGACATGTATCATCCGCAAACAAAGAGCATTGTCGTAGAGAAAAAAAAATGAACGGTACAATGCCATTGTTGATGGTTTCTCAGAAACGGTTCAACTGCTCCTACAAGGCAAAGTGCCAGCCCACAAGGCTCGTTCGAACTTGAATGAAAGGAAGAGAAGATTCTGATCAACAAGACAATGAAAACATGGAGGTCGGATCCATTGGGCAGCTGACGCGTAGTTTCACAGCAGTGGCCTTGAAAATTACCTCCGGTTTCTAGAGATATTATTTGAATTGAGATTGATCACGCTGGCTCTCGTGATGTAAAGGCGTTAGAACCCAATGTGTTGATTTTGGAAGTTCTGATTTGGTATGTCAAACTGAATTCCCGCAGGAAACCACAATAAGTTTACTCATCAAGCCCTAGAAAGTCTTCCCTCGCATGCCTTGGCACCAGACGCAGGACATTACGTAGTTGTTGGTATATGCGTATATATCTCCCCATTGGCTTGCAGTGGGTGGGGTCAACAGAACCGTTGCGATGAAACGTACAGCTTCGGGGTGAGAAAGATAACCCAGCAGATGAAGTACTGCACTGTTTCTTTTAAAGTTGGCACTGTTGGGCCACAAAACATAGCTGTCAATCGCTTTGAGCTGTTTGCTGGAGTCCTTCCGGTGATGTACGTCGAAGGAACATGCACTTGGCAAACGTTGTCGTTCCATGTCCATAGGTGGTCTCAGTCCGACAGTTTTACCTGTCCACAAAGCACAACATCTTCCCCAAACGGGTACCATTTAACATTCTTCAGTCTCACAGCGGAGATCGCATTTCCATCATCGTCAAAGCGCCTATCAGGGGAGACGACCACGCCACCTTCACCCAGCCACGTGGGAGCAATAGTAACAATGACGCTGTCCAGCAGGGACATGTAGAGTGGGCTCAAAAGGGATTTGATAACGTGGCCACCACCCTCTATCATGACGCTCCCGAGACCATTCGATTTCAGGGTGAGGAGCAATTCTGGCCAGTCTATTTGATGTCGGCCGGTATGCGTCCTGACCATTTTTACTGGAATAAATCTTCCGCCGTACCTTTCCAGCAACGCTTGCTTCTTGGCGTTTGGTTTCTCAACTGCGGTGATGATCCATGGGGCACGGCCACGCCCCTCTCTGCAAAGTTGGAACAGCTTGCTGTCGTCTGAAAACTCCCATCTGGCTGTCGGGTCAATCACAACCGGTCGAGGCTGCCCATCTAAGCCCGGCTGGCCATAACCCCCAACTCCTGTGATTCGACAGTTGAGACCGGGATCGTCTGCCACTGCCGTGCCAACACCAATGATAATTCCGTCATGGCGAGATCGCAGATAGTGAGTCATTGCCTTGGATTGAGGGCCTGAAAGCACCGTACGTGCACCAGGGGAGAGTGCCAGAGATGAGTCCAGCGAGGTCGCGAATGTGAGCGTTGTGAACGGGAGATCAATTTGAGGTACCGAGCCATCCTGGGGTGGTAAATGGGGCTCTAAGAAGCCCCTATCTGACTCTGGAAAGTCAAGTGCATCTCTAGGTGCTGAGTCCATCTGGATATTTGTGGGGTTGGATGGTTCACTCAATAATTGCTGTTGGGATACGAAGATCTGAAGCTCGGCGGTCAGATCAAGTTGGTATCGCTGCCTCAGGCTCCAAATGCAACGACCCACTGCCCGGCAACATCGCCGAACCACGATTGGACAAATACGAAGATGGCACGTCAACAAAGGGTCCTTGTGATGCACGGGAAATCCCGCCAAAGCGGGGGCTTTTACGCGACCCCCCTGGAGACCCAGAAATCTTCCTGTCTCATGGTGCTCAACCATCCATACCCAATCTTACACCCATTATGTCAGATCCACCTACCCTATCACCAGGGAGCCAATCAACCTTGGTGATACGCGACAGGGAGAAGAGAAAAAGGACCAGTGCATCGAAGGTCCGAACTGGGTGTGTGACCTGCAAGTAAGTTCCCAAAGTCAACGGAGTAGTCTCGGGTGAATGCTCAGTGGACGAGGAGATCCGCACCGCGTAAACACAATGCAGCGATCTACCCGGCCCTAGGATCTCACTTGGGTAGTAAGCCCGGCGCTAAGAAACGTTCAAAGATCTCGCCATAAGAAATGTGATGAAACTCGACCCGCTTGTCTTATGTGCACTCGTGCTGGACGCGTATGCCAAGGGTACACGGCGCCACCCGATCGGAGAACCCGTGAAGTCAGAGATGCGCGCACCGCGAAGACAAATGGTGGTGCTCTAAACATTGTGCATGTGGGCCAGCGACAAGCCCAATCCGTTGGTTTGGTCCACGTCGTCGATGGTAGTCAAATTGGCTTGTCGCGGATGGAACGTGACTATCTGTATTCATTCCGTTCGTATACTGCTGGGCAGTGTGCTGGGTACCACTTCGACCCATTTTGGCAGGTTCTTGTCCATCAAGTCAGTGAATCTTGCCCCGAGGTTCGTCATGCAGCTATTGGTATCGGTGCCCTGCATCGTAGGTTTTCGAACCCCGGTTCAAACCGGAATGACATTTTCCCAATCCGGCAGTCCACAAAGGCCATTGCTTGTCTTCGCACGGCTATGATGAAGGATGACCAGTCGGACCCCTCAGCCATGGAGAAGGTTCTGGTAGCCTGTGTTGTTTTAGTTACATTCGCTCTATTCCAAGGCGATGTCGATGCCGTTCGCTGTCATCTGCAAGCTGGCACTAAACTCCTTTGGGGGTGGAGAAAGAAAAATACAAACAGCCCTGTTGCGTCTGTTTTATTACATACATTCATACAGCTCCATATCCATTGGGCAAGCGCTACGAGGCTCCAGGATTATCTGGGGGGAGGTTATCCCTATCTGCGAGAACTTATCCATGACAATCTGGTCGATATCTCTGCATATACCGATGAACTGTCAAAATCGACTATGACGGTGTTTATTCAATGTTGGGCCTTAATGTTTAGTGATCCCGTGTCGTTTGACCCGCAGACCACCAATCTGTCGCAAGGATTTACATGGGACACCCCTGCGAACAAAGTCCATCGACTTAGAACACAAGTGGAGGAGTGTAATGCTCTTCACAGAAAGACTTCCTGCTCCACAAAGCTCCGTGCCTTTATGGTCCTCCGGATACAAATTGAGATGCTGCAGATTATCCTTGCCTCAACAACATTTTCAGGCTCGGAAACAGAATGGGATCCTCTCCTTCCTCATTTCCAAAACATTGCCGACAAAGCAGAAGTGTTATTGAGCGACTTCAATCACTTGCCCGACCCATTGTTTTCTGTCAAGGAAGGATTCTTAGGAGCCCTCATGTTTTGTGGGCTGAAGTGTCGAGACTGGACGGTCCGGCGGAAAGTGTTGGCTATCTGCCGAAAATACAATCGACGAGAGGGAATTTTTTCTACCGCTGAAGCCGTTCTCCTATTACAGCGTGTGTACGACGTTGAGTCTGCAGGGATTCCGCCAGGAGAGGAAATACCCGAGTCCGCACGTATCCCCCTAGCGTACATCGCCGAATATCCCAACCATTCGAAATTCAACACCAAAACTCACATCAAGTATTGTGATAGGGATCGCAATTGGTACAGTGAATGGTTGTAACCATGATGCCTTGGGAACCTGTTTAAAGGGATTAATGATTGACACGAGTTTAATGACCTGTATATTTCGGGATTGATTTATATAAATCGCTGTTTCCAGACCGTGCGAGTATGTCTGCTTCGGATTGTCGTAGCCGTACTTGGTTGATGTAACTATCGAACAGGCTGGGCAATTATAACTACTTTCAAATTGAGAAGGCTAGGCTTCAATTAGTCGGTGCCCAACCTGAAGAACAACCCAAGGGGATAACGCCTATTCCCAACCCATTTGCAAAGCCTCCTCTCTAATAGACGCAACGGAAATTTTGAGCCCGGCGACATGGGTTGGGAGTTCGCTCGATTTAAATCCGGGCTGCAGATCTCAGCCCTTTCCATAACCTTGTTGTCTACTGGTCACCGACAACTCAACACACAAGCGATTTCCTCGCGCTCAGGTGTCATTGACAGGCAAACCTCGGTCTATCCAGTAGTGAGATTAGAAAAATAGTTTCTCGGAGTACTCGGGGTGTCCGACAGGCATATACAGAGGATTACGCCGTAGACCCTTAGGTAATTACCTGCATGTAATCTGTGTCGCCCTCATTCTAGCCCCGCCTAGGCCATTTTCAGGCCTGACAGGGCTCCTTAGTATTCTAGCTCGCGCAGAGGTAAACAGCAGATCAATTCCAATCATCAGCACGAATGCTGCTCGGTCCACTTCACCTCTGCCTCTTGTAGCATTGCCCAGATCGATTGATTCATTTGCCAAAACATTATCAGTTTCCTGTCACAATGATCCACTGCCCGGTAAGGATTTGCCCCGTGATCCAGCAGGGAGCGAACAATGGCCTCACAATTGCTGTAAACGGCATATGAAAGCGGAGACTGTGAGTATAGATCAGTAATCCTCGGATCTGCGCCATGCTCTAGTAGCAGATTCACCATCGTCTCGTCGGATTTCTCCACAGCGCAGAACAGGACGCGGTTAAAATCTTTGTCACGTTCGCCGCCAGGGTGTTCGAAACACGCCACATTTACATCTGCCCCATACTCCAGGAGCAATTGTGCAAGCTCCAGATTGCCACTCTCCACGGCAAAGAGAAGTGGCTGCACCCATTGCCCGTCATTACCAGGTATACCATCCGGCAAATTAAGTACCTCGGATGGACAGAACTGAGGGGGTGCGCCACATCGAAGTAGCATCTCGGCGATTGGTCTGTTCCACCGTTTGACTGCGATGGCCAGTGCTCTGGTGCGGTGGAGACATGCAGTTCCGTGGACCAACATCTGGGAGATTTCTTTATGGTCATTGGCTACTGCCACCGTTAAGGGCGCCCACACCTGTCCTTCCTCAATGAAGTTCGGATCTGCACCGTGTGCAAGAAGTAGCGCCGCCAAATCGCTATTTCCGTTGTTCGCTGCCACAGTAAGAGGACACCATCCAAAACCGATGTTTAATTGCGCTCCGTGTGCGAATAGTAACTGGACCACTGGGACCTGTTCAGCCTGAACCGCCGCGAGAAAGGCCTCTGTCATCAGTTCTTCTTTATCGGGCTTATTCCCAAGTTCCTTAGGAGCAGACAAAAGCAGCTCAACCACTTCCGTATGGCCCTGAGACGCCGCCAGGAACACAGGCCGGCGGCCTCGAGCATCTTTAATCCCCTGTCTGGCTCCCACTTGCAGCAAATACGTAACTAGAGAAGCATGGCCACGGGCGGCAGCCAGCGCCAGCGGAGTCAGTAGCTCCCGGGTCGTGATGTCAGGGCTCACACCACGATCAACCATGTATCGGACGATATTGGTATGACCCTTTTTTGCCGCCAGTGAGAGCGGATGCGGCTTGAAGAGGCTCGGATCCTCGTTCAGAGGCCGTCCCATCAGTAAAGGGGCTCCAGCGTCTAGCGCCTTCTGTAGTGTATCGATCCGGTCATTTTCCGCCGCCCAGTTCAAAGCAGAGCTGTGCCCGTGGAGCACGTTGTACTGATAAAGGAACGGGTTACAGATTTCATAGAGGCGACGGTTCGACAAGGCCAAGGCAACGAGAGATGATTCGCATGGCAATACAGAGGCTATTAGGAGAATGAGCTCAGTCGGTAAAATTTCGATGGACATTTTTTTGGGGGAGGAGTGAATGGCGGGGGGAAGGGAAATATGCCGCGGCATATCATCTTACAAACCCCCACCACTGCCTAACTATGTACCTAGGTACCTATACCTACATTAAAGGTTTTACGAAGAGTAACCATCACCAGTTCCTGATTCTTCTTTGATTACATTTTATAAAGTCGCAGTTACCTTTCTACAGGTTTCAGCAAAGCCTGCCCCCTGTCCCACGCTAGCCCGGAAATCCTTCAGCTTGCCTAGGCCAACCTCACTCCGTCTAAGTTACTGACGCTTTCCCTTTCTCAGGTTGACGTCTTGTCCTCAGCCTGGATTATCCCCAGATGACCCCATATGCATAGCCAGAGGGTCTTATTGTGGAACTTGGACCCCCAATTTCTTTTGCTTATTTTCACTTTCACCCTTCCCTTCAAAGACAGTTGTTTTTGACTGTCACCTTTACAACTGCGCGCAGCATCACTATCGCTGATGAGTATACCTTCAATAACTGGGGCCCGGTGACCACCACGTTCACCGCACCAGCCGGCTGCGCAACTGACATTGGCAATTACATGGTTGGAGTCAGCACTTTGCTGAGGTTCCATACACGCTTTGCTCTCCGTGTTCAGAATTAAGCAACGCCACGTTAGAATCAATCGGATAGCGTTGCCTGTTGAACCGTTCGATGACATTGACCCAATCAGTCGGGTCAATTTTTTGTGTTCATAGTCCCAACGCAACGAGGCATTTTGAAATGATCTAATCAATCATTCGTTAGTACGGAGTAGCTGACATGTAACTACATAAGCCTTTGACACTACTAATCCCAATAGCCTGCGCCTTGAATCTAGAGTCTAGCGCCTATATCCTAGAGGATAACATACTTGGATAACACGCATCAAGGACCCGAGGAAGAACGGAGATTGTCAAATGAGTATAGAGTGCGGTCGTGAGATGTGAAGACACGATGGAGAAGAGGAGGGAGACGAAAATGTAAACAATTCATTATGGAACACCGTCGGATGAGACCATGGATTCGCCTCCCAATCTGCGCTGGACGATCAGTAACTTTCGATAAGATCGGGGTTAGGAGAGTTGAGGGCTAAGGCAGGTCAAATACTATTAGAAAATAGATATATCGCTTCTAACTCTTAAATAAATATATCTTAATTTATAATATATTCTTTATTAATCTACTATAGTTATGATATATAAAGAAGCGCCTAGCTCAACCAAGTCAAGATCATCCGAAGATTAGAACTTGAACCAGTTGACTGGCTCATCTCCCAGTCCGATCCAGGACTAGTGACCGGCTGTGAGATAGCGGGCTGCTGCCTTTCAGTCGGGTTGTAGTAACCGAACGCCATGCACGTATCGGACGTGCCGTCTACCTGGTCATACGCCAACCCGTCGTCAACCGTGGTGAGGAGCTCGATCATAACCGATCGGTACGAGAGCTTCCCCGCCATCACCTGGAAACCTTCGACGAACTTGAGGGAGTCGATGACAGTCTTGGACCGGATCAAGATATCTACGTCACTTGTGACTCTGTTGTGGTCACGGAAACATGCAGCCGCGCCACAGACTAGGATAAAGTCAGCTGAAAAATACTTCTGTAGCGCGCGGATGCATACTAGGATGTTGTCAAATTCGTCCGAGTCGGTCGACGTATTCCTCCAGGCGATCGCGGAGTCCGTCATGAAGCCCCGCTGCAATTTGCGGTAGCATCTTCTGGGAACCATTTCACTCCACATAACGCCAGATCGTGTGGTCCTGGAATAGGATCCATGCCTGCTAGGGCTGTGACTGGCAGTCCGGCCAATATTTCACAACGTCGAGTGCTATTTCAACATCCGTTTCAGACGAAAACCACCCTCCTTCAACGTGCGTGCATGTTGAGGCCGGTCGCACCGCAGTTGTAGGTGGTCAGGAGAGGACTTGGGGTCGTTGTCTTAGGGTCGTAAAGCGTCCAATTGTAGCAGTTTGAAGTTCCCTGGGCATCCCAGCGCGGATCGCCACGAAATCTAGCGGCTGCGAGTCTAAAAACATCTCCATAAATCGGATTGTCATCAGTCAATGGCAGAAGACCAGGAAGGGCGGATGAGGACCAGTCGACGCTAGAGCTCCCTCCGGCGCAAGCAGGAGAGTACATTCCCGAGGGCGAGCGGAAATGTTGTCGCTGTTGGAATTGCCTTCATGTTGAGCGGGGGGCGGCCCGCTGCCATGCTTGGACGGCCTTTCGCTTAATTGCCGGTGGAAGAAGATGATAGTTCTCCATGCCGGGAAAGTCTACTCAGCATTAAATTTGAACGGGGAGCTTTCGTCTCTTTATATTCGACTGACGTGGGATACCAAAATCTTCACAATGATCGCGTAAGAAAGTGACATACTCTCTCTCCAGAGCATCGTAATACATGGTTTTGATCGTCACGAGGTCTGACTTGGTGGCAGCAAGGTCGGACTTAGTGTGATCTGACTCTTCCTGTACAGATCAGCAGAGAAAGAGCTACCAGAAGGTCCGGATGTGGGTAGAGATTGGCCGGGGTCACACCACCGAGATCAAGCTTAGGGTAAATGTAGAGGAAGGTTGAGATGTAACAACAAAGTGAAAGAGAGGTGAACTCAAACAGAGAGAGGAAGTCAAGGCTGTAGGCAAGCAAGGTCAAGCTTACGGTGAGTGTAGAGGAAGGTTGAGAAGTGAGAGTGAAAGTGAGGAGAAGAAACCAAAAGAGCAGAGAGTGTCTAGTTATATATTAAAACATCCTATAAGATACGTAATGCGACATTTACGACAGATAAAAAGAGCATCCTCCGGGGCTGCACCTTCCTCTCATTCATTTCTCTTCCCTTTCCACCATTCTGCTTCTTCTATCTTCACCATCCACCTTCGTCACCTAGCATCGCTCTCTTCTTTTATTCTCGCATTCTTTGTTCTCACTCATGTACGAAATCAACATATGTTCCGGAAGTTAGTAAGATATCTCACCTGGCTCTCACTTCTTTATCTAGAGAAATGCTGACAATCTTAGCCCGGAGACGGCTCTATGCGAACCGCTACTCCCTCCCATGCATGCCGGGTCTTCGCATCCAGACACCTATAGGAGGCAGCTGATTTACCTTCGCTTCCCAACCACAAGGACCCCTTCCCACCTGCTTGGCCAATCGACAGATCGGCGCTAAGCAGGGCTGTTTTCGAATTCCTGTGCCTGACAGGTCGCCTGGGCTTCATCGACCTACCACAAACTGGGCGGGCTCAACCCTCTCAACCGCTAGGACGGCGTCGACCTGGACATTTCTCTAGAGACACTACTGCGCAACAACACTCTTCATCCGAACTCCGTTCCGGTTGGTGCTCCCTACCTTCATTGTGCATACACGCAGGTTCTATATTTGTTAATTTAGAACTTATCTACTTCAATTTCAATCTTACATTCAACCATGCACCTCTTTCCACAATATATAGCCTCACTTTACGCTTGTCAGAAACTAGTAAGCCAAAATCTACGAGTGAAAGAAAGCGTTACGGCTGGAATATCCCTTGGAATTCGGAGTCCGGGCATAAAAATGAATTGATCCCCAACAAAGCCACTATCCCACGAAAACTAATGAGCCAAAAGCCCGGTGAACTGGATCATGGGCAAAGTATCGGTACATATACTGCTCCATAGAGATTTAGCAGGTTCACAATGGCGCTTCCAAAAAGCCTTTCCAAACCAAGTGGACATTTCGCGTGAAGCCACTGCAGAGCTTTCACATGCTTAGGAAACGGTGATGGATGAGGATCCACTGCTCTGGTATCCCTCGGTGTTGACAATCTGGTAGTTGTGCGAGCCGAGGCCCATTCCGAGCTTAGCCCAAGCATTGAAGTGGTTGGCAGTGGTGACTGTTCCGCTGCTGCGCTTGCTCCGGCGGATGGACCAATACTGGTCGAAGGTCGCAGTTCCTGAGATAGAAGGCTGGTTCACTTGCTTGTGGGTATAGATATCGTAGACAGATCCATCGCTGGTCACGGTTCCCTTGAAGGTCATGCTGCCGCCAGGGTTGTATTCACCATAGTTTTCCATAATGTAATACTCGACGAGGGGGCTAGTGGTCCACCCGTAGACAGCAAGGTAAGCATTTCCGGAGGGATTGAAAGAGCCGGAAAAGTTGATGTTTCTAACAAGACGCACTTATAAGTATATTACATAGAGAAAGGTAGTTGGGCTCGACTTACCGAGCGCTGCCAGTAGCCCAGCCCTTGCCAGAGGTGAAAGATCCGCAGTTGGTCCAGCTGACGCTGTATTGACCCGCAGCACCGTTGTTGTAGGAGACACTGCCACCACCATTGGTCCAGAAAGAATAGAAGTAGCCATTGCTAGTTCCTTGTTGGCTCGTGGTGATCGCGCGCTTTTCCAACTCATTGGGAAGCGCAAAGGCAGTTACAGCTGCGCAGGCGGCCACGAAGAGGCTTGAGAAAGAGACCATGATGTAGAGTAAGATGCAGTTGCTAATTGAGAAAGAAGAATGAATTGAATCGTGTTGTTTATGACATAGGATTTGTTCAGAAGGCCTTCCTTTTATATTCCCAGGAGGATGTGGGGCGCGTTTCTAAACAGTTTCAAGTCCTGGATGTCTTGATTCAATTTAGCCATCGACCCATTTATCCCGTTCTCAGTTACCCCAATTGCACTAATCATATGCCGTATACGGGCCATGATTCCTTTCCCACTAAGTCTTAGCAGTAGTCCAGACCATCGTCAGGTAGATCCCTGTATCATGCAACCAGCCTAAAATCCAACTCCTCGGTGATTTAAGCTAAGGGGCTTAACTAGGCACAACCGGACTCTTCGGCTAAACTTCGAAACGAAAACAAGAAAGTTGAAGAATCCAGCCACAGGCACAGGTGCAAATGCGGGGAAATTCATCACGGCTATAATGGGCGCTGCTTGGCTCGGCCAGGCTAAACCTAAGATCAGGCAGTTCGGAAGCAAACCCAAGGCTATATAATCTATTTTACCGACTATTTCGATCGCCAGGGAAGTCGACATAAGTCAGGAAAACGTGACAAGGTGGCCGATCCA